GACAACTCAAAGGGGGAGTCTGAGGCAGACTGTGCTGCCACTGCGCCGACCCGTCGTGTCTCTTGTCATGGTGTGTCTCCCATTTTTCTTCTTCCTTGCTCCGCGTCACAACCTCCAGGTGAGACCCCTTCTTAACCCGCCTCCCCTCCCAAACATCCTCATCGGCCCAGCTCCTCCTCCCAGTCCATCGGCCCATGCATGCCGAGAAGAGAGAGAGAGAGAGGGAGGGAGAGAGAGAGAGAGAGTCAGAGAGAGGGAGAAAGAAAGAGAGAGAGAGAGAGAGCAGGAAAAAGCGAAGCCTGTGATGCCATGGCAGCGTCCGCCAGTGCCACTCGACCACATTGCCCACAATGAATCGCCACACCTCCCACGATCTATCCGCGCTCATGGTCTACTTTCTCTTTCCGGGTCCACCATTGGCATGAGTGCTTGGCTCCAGCCCCCTTTCCCCCTATCAGCCTTCCAGGGCATGTCCTCTCGACTATCCTGCCACCGCCTCGCTGACATTACCACGCCAAGGCCCTCGCGCAAGATGCATCTGACTTCTATGCAGTATGCTACCTGCTTCCGCTTTCCTTGTGCCGCATGGTTCCTCGTGCTGCCCCCCCGTTCGTTTCGCCTTGCCTCTCTCGTGTTTTGTTTCTGGCCTGGCCAATCGTGGTGCGGGCAGCTGGGGGTACTTGCCACCTCCAGCCGAACGGCGCGAAGACGCACGAGAGCCCACAGACACTCCACGGGCCACGTGGGTCGAGACCGGCGGGGCGCGCCGGGCGCGAGGGCGCACGGGGCGAGTGGATCGGGGATGGACAGAGCCCCCTTTGGCAACACATGGTTTCGTGAAGCGACCTCGGGCCCAAACCTGGCAGGCGCGAGCCTGGAACATGACGGCCGCGGCGTCCTCTCGAGAACCTAAGACGGACAATTCACTGATCGACGCGTCAGGGTGGGGTGTCCGTCCACCCCCGAATGGAAAAGCAGAGAGCGGCCGCAGAGGGGGGAGGGGGAGAAGACCCGACCGTCGAGAGTCGGCCGGTGCGGGGCGCGCAGGCGGCCCCCAGGCACTGAAGACAGTGTGCACCAAGTTAGCGGAGCAGCGGGAGGCCCATCCCGTCGAAGTAGAAAAGGCGGCCAGGCGAGGCGTCTTAGCATTGCAGGCCACACGAACACGGCAGCCTCGGAAAGGGAGTTGGCGAGATCTCCTCTCGCGCTGGCTGCGCGCGTCCGCCGGCGTGGGCAACATATAATGAATGTGGCCCAGGGAGGCACAAGCGCACAAATCGACACTAACTCGAGGATTCCCGATCTTTTTCCCCAATTTCATGTTTTTCTTCTTCCCTTCCATTTCCTAACTTTTCCCGTATCTCACGAGACCCACATTGACTTGTGTTTGTCCCTCGGGGAGACGTAGGACTCGGGTTCGGGGGACTCGGGCTGGCCTGACGGCGCCATCATGAAACTTAGGAGACCCAATCTGAAATGTGATGTGAGCTCCCGCTGCAAGCATCGCACGAGAACTGGACCGTCTAAATCCAGGATGCGCTCCTCAAACAGCGACGGCAAACCCGAGATCTGGCGTGTTCGGGTCTTGGAAGGAGAGAGACGGCGTGAACATAAACTTTTAGCGCTTCGCGCGGAGCGCCAACAGTTTATGTTTATGGCGTTTTCCTTCTTCGAATATCATAAGGATGCGCGGTAAGGGTGCAAGGGCCTCGGAAGGCCATGTCGACACTTTGCGAGCGGGGCGCGGCCAGCGATGGGCCGAAGGGTAGGATAGCAAAGGTTAGAGCAGAGAGTCAACTCACGAAGCTGGCTTTCCTGGCGCCTCCTGGCGCTGGGAGGCGTCCAGGTATCGCGGAATTGCCCTGGCGGCGGGGCAGAGACCAACTCCATGCAGCAGATTTCGTAACCCACCACCTTTGCCTATCCAACCCTTTCGCGCGGCCCGATTAGCGTGTCGCTGCGGCGGCCCCAGCGACACGCTGTGCCTTTTAAACGGATGGCGTGTCGCTCTGTTCCGTGGGGCGGAGGCTCGGAAAAGCTGGGAGCTTTGACAATCGGGAGCGGGACGTGGATACCGCGTCGCGGCAAAGCGTGGTGGGCCAAGACCGGCGGAGTGACTTGCTAAGCCAAACTTCCCGACCATATCCGTGCCCGCGCCCTCGCGGCGGTCTGGATTCTGGAGCGCGGTCCCGCGGATGCGTCCCGCGCGGATGCGTCCCGCGCGGGGCATCCGCAAACAGAGCGCTCCGCATCCGCAGGGGCGCGGCCCAGGGGCCCCGCCCACGAGGCCGCTGATGCGGACATGTTTCTCGCCAACGCGGTGGCATGGGAGGCCATCCGGCCCACGAAGCGGCTGCGCGCAGAGTTGTCGCCCGCCGACGTGGCGCACGATCAGGGTCGGCCTCCGATGGCTCCATGTTAGATGCAGGTTCTGGGACCTTCCTGGAGCCACTGGCTCCACTCATGCGTCGATGCTACGTCGAATGTCCGTCGACTCGAATCGAACTTGAATCGAACTTTAATTAAACTTGAGTCTAGCTGGAGTCGAACAGATCCTTTAGGCGGTCCCCAAGAAGGTCCCCCAAACGAGCACCTAATCCATGTATGCATGTCTTCGAATGTACAGTCGGAGTCAATAGTCAGGACGGGCGGTAAGCACGCAAGGGCCTTGGACGCCGAAGTTGGCACTTTTTGGGTGGCGGGCTGCCAACACCCTGAAGGGCTGGCCAATGAAACCGCGAAGGACGGGCCGCAGATGCAAGGACGCAAGGGGTACCTCAAGGACATCCGTGCGTCCTTACTGAGTCGGCTACACGTAAGAGTGACCCTGGGTAAGAGTGACCTTTGGTGCGCGGCTTTTTGGGGGCCGCGGGGGGGCCAAGCACAAGCGCGCAAGACGCCACCGTCGCTTCGCGTTCGGCGATCGGGGACCCCAATGGGCCCGCACCACAAGGTCACTCCGGCGAAGGGTCCCTCTTACGTGCAGCCGATACTCGTAGTTTTGACGGTCTATGCCTGCACAGGTCTTCGGCCCGACCCGACGGAGTCAGACACGTTCTCGTCGCGTGCGCGATGGGCGCGATGGCGGCGGGCCCGCGCAGGAAGGCCCCTCTTGGGGCAGCGACCCCGCGGCGTCGCTGCCCGCGGTCGGCCCGGGCGAAAGGGGGGGAGAGCAAAGGGGGGATTAGAGAATCAGCTCGCGTGGCTGATTTTCCCAGCGCCTCCCGGCGCCAGGAGGCGTGCATGCATCGAGGAACGGGCCCCTCGGCGGGGCCGAAACCAGCTGCATGCAGCAAATTCCGTACCCCCCCCCTTTCCCTATTCCCCCCCCTCTCGTCCGGCCCGACGCTGGCAGGCAGTGGGCGCGCCCGGGGGCGACTTGTTTGGCCGGTGCGGCGGCGCCGCCCGCGGGCGGCGCGGTGGCTGCAGAGCCTGCCGGGGGGCCCGCGGCGGCTCGCGCAGCGTGAGAGGGGTGCTTTCCCTCCTGCTGCAGCGGGCGCGACGCGGGCGCTGGGCCGAACGACCATGGCGGCGCGATGATGAAGCCGACGACGGAGACGCATGACGATGCTCGGTGGCGACGGCGATGACGATGACGATGTCGCTGATGCCGATGGCGACGGCGACGACGCTTTGCGCGGCGATGTTCGCAGGTTCCGCGAGGTTGTGGATGCCAGGCGCGGAGCCCAGCAGCGGCAAGGGCAGGCGACGGCGAGCACGGTGAGAGCATTGGAGCAGAAACCATTGGACAAGGTATCCAGGGTCTGGAAGCCAGCGGATACACCACCGTGGAATGGGCCTGGGTATCACTGCCACCCTCAACAGGCAAGGAATCATGCCGGGTCTGAAACCTCCTGAGCACATTGCGTGAGCCACGCGCCCAGTCGCCCGCAACCGTCACGTAGCCTCGTCTCTATCAGGGGTGCGGTAGTAGCCGAAACTCTGCCCGAGCACTTGCCAGAGTGTGACCGAAGCCGGCGCCCGAACCTCTCCAGAAGTGGCCGGATAATTACCTTGGATCGGAACCAATTCGGTTCACGATTTCAGACATTATCGCGGTCGCACTCGGCTTTCGGCCGCATTTTCAGGTACGTTCTCGGCCACAGTTCGGTCACAGGCCTTCTCGGCTGATGTGGGCCAGGCGCCATGGCAAACACGGCCGCGGCCACCAGAGGCGGATGGCCTCGCGTCACTGCCCTGGCCAGGGACGGTCGGTTCGTCATAGTCGTCGCCGCTTGCTTGGGGACGCACAGTCTAAACTGGTAGTAAGGATGCGTGATAAGGATGCCAGCCCCTTGAACGTCCATGTCGGAGCTTTTCGAGCGGGGCTGGACATCGAAAAAGATCAATGGTGGACCTAAGAGGCACGGATGCAAGGGTACCCTTGGGAAGACTACCTCTCCTTATCATCGGTTTCGACTGCAGTCATCGCCAACGGAGTGGAGACGTATATGAGAGCGCGCCACGCTCTCCTGAGGCGAGCCGCCCGTTTCACAGGACAACGGGTCCCGCCACGCGACACCGCCAGGAGATCCCAGGATCGAACCAATGAGTCGGACCAGTGATCAAAATGAATCGGAGCGGCGGAAATCGGCAGCCGAGTCGGGAGAAGTCAAGTCGAATCGGCGGAAGTCGGCAGGCTACTAAGTCTTCATTGAGACATCGGAGTCCAAATCAGACTCCGAAGTCGAATCGAATCGGAATCGGAAATCGAATCGGAGGAATCGGAACGAACCCTGTCCGTGTCACAGGACGACATTCTCCGCCACGCGACACCGCACCACGTAGAAGAAGCCGCGCTCGCGGCAAAGAGCGGATGCGCGCACGAGCAGCGCGAGACTGCTGCACTGCCAAGGTTCCGCGAGGTGTCCGCCGACTCCCGCCCGCGCGGGTGCGGCCAGCGCCCAACACGCGACGAGGGTCGAACCGACGAGCAGCCCGAAGACGAAGACGAAGACCGCCAAGCCCGCGGGCCGCTTCCGGGACGGACAAAACAAGATGCCGAGGGCCACTGGCACGCCAGCTGCGGACACGGCAGCGGCGGGCACGTGAGCGACGGCGTGCACGCGCAGTCGGGGCACTGCCCCTGCGGAGCCTTGGCGATGGCCACCACGCCGATTGCGCGCGCAGCCTCGGCGGTCCGCAGGTCGATCGCCGACTGCATTGCCGTCGCGCCCGAACGACACTTGCTGATGGTAGCGTGCCCCGACGGGAGCCACACAGAGCAACGCCGTAATTAGCACATTGAAGTTAATGGGGATGCGAAGGAGGACAGCAGGTGAATAGTTACCGTGGAGGAGCTGGAGGCTAGGCTAGGCAACACAAAATAACACAAGGAGCTGGAGGCAAGGCACGAGAGGCGATGGCCATGGTTTCTCCCCCGGGTCTGCCAGGTGAGCTGCGGCTGCCACTGGAAGTGCTCCCAGGCTTGGTTCACCTCCCGCCCGCTGCAGCCCGCGCATCCTTCGGAGACCTCCTCCTCCTCTTCCTTCTTCTCCCCGGGGAGGGGGGAGTGGTCCCCCTCCCCCTCCCGATCCCATGATCCTGACTCCCCCCGCGCTCCTCCTCATTCACCTTCCGCCCTGTCCTCCGCCCTCTCCTCCCACCTCTCCTGTATTCGGACCCACGGCTTCTGCAAGTCGTCTAAGACTCGTTGGGGTATGTACATGGGGCTGGCCGGGGTCCTCCAGCAGGAATGGCGGCGGACTCCATCCCGCACATTGTCCATGTCGAGTCGACATCACCGTTCGAGATGTCTAATATTCAAATGCCTTTTCCGTATCCGCTCTCACCCAATCTCTACAGCAATGTTGCATGTGTTGAAGGACAGCATACACCTAAATGCTCTTTTCCTGACGGCCCTCGACCACCGTCACGTTGGTCCGCAGCAACCTCGTCGCCGAAGGGACTGTGCGGGGCAGGCTTTTTGCCGAGCCAAGTAGTATTTACATACGTTGACGGGATAGTATGTGGCAAACTCGTCCTCCACGACCCGTTCTTCGGCGGCGTTAGCAGTTAGCATCGTATTGATTACATACGCTTGACATTCTGTGTGAAGCTCGGATGGCGGGTGTTCACCATAGCTGTTTCGCCATCGCCCGTTGGCCATAGCCTTGCTTTGCGACTCTTGGAGAACGCCTATGCAAGTCCCCACCCGATCAATTTGGTCGGGATCATTCGGGCCCGGTCTAACCGACCCCTAGCAGACCATCCCCTTCCGTGACGTCACCCTCGCCTTCCAAGCGCTTCCCTCCGGCCGCATGCACCCGTCTTGGGGCGAGGCGAGGGGGACGTCACGGAAGGGGATGGCTTGCTAGGGGTCGGTTGGGCCGCCCCGGAATGATGGCCGACACAGGCCGAGCATGACAGAGCCCCACACCAGCGCTGCCAGACAAGCCCTGCCCGTCCTGCCGTGAAGACCTTCCCCCGCCCAGGCGGGAGCCTCGCACAATTTCCTCCTCCTCCTCCTCCTTCTCCTCCTCTTCCTCTTCCTCCTCCTCCTCCTCCTCCTCCCGCTCCTCCTCCTCCTCCTCCTCCTCCTCCTCCTCCTCCTGCTCCTCCTCCTCCTCCCTCCTCTTCATCTCCCTCCCCCTCCCCCTCCCCCCGCCCCCCCTCGTCCCCCCCCCCCTCCCCGCCTCCTCCTCCTTCTCTCCTCTCCCCTCCTCCTCCTCCTCCTTCCTCCCCCCTCCTCCTCCTCCGCCTGCAGCCTCCCGCAACCGGCGGGAGCTCCGGAGACAATTCCCTAGAATCGGGTCGAGCTGGCACCACGCGCAGGACATGGCAGGAGCCTGCAAGGGATCGTTGCCTCGAAGAGCAAACAAAAAGCCATACACACAGGCTTTTGACGGTCCGCGCGAATTTCTTGGATCTGCGCTGGGCCCCCCTCCCTGGCGCTCGGAGCGCGCTAAGGGCGGCGCTGGATGAGCCGCCAGGGCCTCAGGGGGGGCCCAGCGCAGATCCAAGGACTCCGCGCGGAGCGCCGAACATTTCTGTCTATACTTATGTGGTTCTCATCGTACTTACGGACCACATCCCAGAAATAATTTCAAACACCCAGGACACTATCGAATGTGTGCCCGACACGCTAGCGAAACGTCGAACAAGTACAGCCTCCCGGGGCCCGACACGTGAACATCAGCCAGTTTTGGTACTCTCCTGGCGCTCGACCTTCTTTTTGGCGGTCAAAGCTAAAGTATGTCGAAACATCACAGGGTGAGAGTTTTCTTATTCGGCGTTTCGCCATTCGGCGTAACAAGGGAGGGAAGGGGGGGTCTGGCTTCGGACTTCTGCTGAATGCGACTGTTTGGAACAGGGCGCTTATTATGGGGGAGACCCCACCAGCTCGAACCAGACGCAAACAAAAACCGCCCGATCTACTCCATGGGGGGGAGGGGGGGGTACGAAGGCCCCCGCCGATGAATAAACACCGATCACAAATGGGTCGGGACATTATAAGTCTATGCCGTTATTTCATCTTCGATCCTCGGCTCGTCCGAGGACTCCGTGCGTGTGGCGTCGCCCCTGGTTGCCGCGACGCCGCGCCCCCGGGCCTGCCCTAACCCGCTTCCAAAAAAAGGCTCCCCGAGTGGAGGACGTGCCACACCTTGTCGGAAAAGGGCGAAGCATTGAAGACGCCTTGGGGCACACAAGCAAGTAGGAACAAATCCCAGGTTTCCCCATCGTTGTCCATATGTTCTGGGTTTTCGCCCCCCCCCCCCCCACACACCCACCCCATCCTTCCCATGTCTTCTTATCTTTTCCTTAAGGTCGACGATTAACTGTGTCTGTGTGTGCGTGTGTGTGTGTGTGTGTGCGTGTGTGTGTGTGTGTGTGTGTTTCTCGTGCTTATCCCTCCGGAAGCATGGGGGGCGGCCGCAGTCTCCCCGTTCGCCTCCCCGCCGCCCCCGCCTCGGAGCGAGGCGAGGCGAGACAAGGGCGGAGCACGCTCGGTCCTCGGACCCTTCCCGGGGTCCAAGCGCACCAGTTTCCCAAGCTGCGTCCAGCCGTGGCGACGAAGGCCCCCGCCACCGATGGCCAACCACCGTCGTCTGAGTTCGCCCGCCTCTGATCGTCCTGCCCATCTGCCCATGCCTCCTCCTGCGGATTTCTTGCTCCTCCTCCTCCTCCGCCTCCTCCTCCTCCTCCTCCTCCTCCTCCTCCTCCTCCTCCCCCGCCCTGCGGGGAAAGAAAGGCCAGCCAAAAGCTTAAGAAAACACCAGTGCGCTGGCCCGCGAGGCATCGCCTGGCGTTCCTCGCCAGCTGGGCGCCCACGGTCGTCGAACGGCCGGGCGAAGACGCCCCAGCCGTCCCCGTCCTCGCTCAGACAGGGGAAGGGGGCCAGCACGAGCGAGGAAAAGGGGAAGCAACGAGGAGGGGGAAAAATCCATCATATCGGGCGAGGTTCGTCAGCATCTACGCGGGCGAGGGGCCGCGCACAACATAAGACTGCGACGTGGGGGGGGGGGGGGGGGCGACGGGCCTCCATCCGAATTGAGCGAGGTGATAAGAGACGATGCAACAACGCCGAGACAGGCGGGCGGTGGCGGGACCAGCACGGGGGAGGGATGAGGAGAGACGGCACAGGGCAACAGCAGGGAGGGCTTGAGGAGCGGGGCGGAGGGGGACAAGGCGAGAGCGGCGGCAGGGGCGGCCGCGACAAGAGAGAACACGGGTGCCTGCCCGACGGTGTTCAACGCGCGGAAAGCCGCAATTCCAATCAAGGGAGAATAGTGTGCAACATAAGAACAAGATCGAGAGACGGAAGGGGATGGGGATGATACGTGGGCGAAGGTAACAGGCTGCATGGATGTTGAGAACGGCTCACGCGGAGGGGAGGGGCGAGCGGGGGGCACGCATCAGCACAAGCAGGTCTCACGAGCGAAGGACGAGGGGGCGGTGGGAACGCGCTGCAGGCGGGAGGGTAAGACCTCGGGAACAAATTGGGGGCACATGGGGGGGGGGGGGTCGAGATGATGCGGCCAGAGGGGGAAGAGCGAACGCGAGACGAGGGGATCGGCGAGGCGAGGCCTACCGAACGCGAAGCGCTGCCGGGCGGCTGGGTCGAGGGCCCAATCGGGGAGGAGGCGGATAACGGGAATAGTCATCCGAGAACTTCGCGCGGCCATTGGAGCCGAGGTCGACATCGAATTGCAGTGGGCAGCCGCAGGAGAGGGAGCAACAGGTCTCGACGCAGCAATCGGTCGCGACGAGTAACTGCCCGAAGTTCCAGCACGTGACGACGGTGAGCCCGAGCTCGAGAACGGGACTTGCGATCTAACGCCCACGGCAGCGCGGCCGAGATCGAGGCATCCGACAGCAGGCGACGTCTAGCCCGGACACGACAACGGGACTTGCGCTATAACGCCGATGGATGCGGAGCCAAGTTCGAGGCATCCGACGCGAGGCGACGCCGAGCCCGAACACGACAACGGGACTTGCGTTCTAATGCCGTCGGCTGAGGCGCCACTGCAAGGGCGCGCAGCACGTGGCGACGGCGAGCCCGAACCAAAGAACGGGACGTGCACTCTGACGCCGACGTGAACAGGGCGTGGCGACGGCGGGCCCGAACACGACACCGGGACTTGCGTTCTAACGCCGCGAGGCTGGTCATGCGCCAGAGGGCGAGCAAGAGGTCCGTCCAGCGAGATCGCGCCACTGTGGATCAGGAACCCCCTGGCCTCGTTCAGATCAGAGTCGTCGATGTCCAGCGACGGCGGAGGCGACGCAACCGCTGTGGAGGCTGTCGAAGAAGAAGTGGGGGACGTCGGAGAGGCCGACAAAATTGAACGGGTCGAAGCAGATGAGGGAGACGACGGCGGTGGAGCCAGGCGCGGCGATGAGGGTGGGGGGCTCGAGGACGTAGATGAGGATGAGCTCGGCTGCGGCATGTGCGCGATGTAGTCGCGGCGCTGAAGGGCCTGGCGCTCTTGCTCAGAAGAGGCGCGCGGGGCGGCCAGAACCGCGGCGCGAACGCCGGCAACCGCGACGGATCGCAGCTGGGCGGGGGAGAGCGGCCAGGGCTCGATGAGGCGCGTTTCTTTGTGCATGTTGTAGGCGGCGCACATGTGGCACCAGGCGACCGGGGGGGGTCGGGGCCAGCGACCAGCGCCCCAGCCGAGGGGGCGGGGGCGGGCGCGAGAGGGCGCGCCGAAGGGCGCCGAACATCACTGGGCACCCCGCGTAGTGGCAGACCGAGTCTGGGCGGCCGAGGCAACCATAGGCGCGCCGCCGACGGCAATGCGGCGAGATGATGCGCGACGTCGCGGGCCAGGCGCCCGGCCGCCTGCGGTGCACCGCCCAAGCCCGCGAGCAGGGGCAGCGGCGGAGAACGGCAGCGCAGGCGCCCCAGTTGACGGGGGAGAGATCACGGGCGCGGCGCCCCGCGAGCTTGGCGAGGCGGCGGAGCAGCAGGGCGACCGGCGGGGCGTCGGCGATGGCGAGGCGCCGCAGGGCGGCATGGGCAGCGCGTTGCGGCCGAGGACGGGGGCTGCCGGGCGGGCGCAGGGCCTGGCGGGCGGCGGCGGCAGCCGGCGGCGCCAGGGGGGCCAAAGGCCCAGCAGGGGTGCGCCCCGCAGCAGCGGCTTCCAGGTTCTCGACGAGCGCGGGGGGCGGAAAGAGGGGCGGGGCCGCCGCGAGGCGAGCATGTCGAGAGCGCGCCAGTCTTCATGGCAATGAGGGTGGGCCCGAAGCTGGGCAATCCACTCCTGCCAGCGTGGAGATGTGCAAAGAGCCGCGCGCGCGTGCGAAGCGACCGCTACGCGCGCCCAGCGGAGGGCGCGGGGGCCGCCCCAAAGATCGAGCTGCGACGGCGGGGCCAGGTCGAGGGCGCCGAGCGGGATGCGGAACACCTGCGCGAGGACGGAGAGCTCGGGGGGGAGCGCGTGGCTGGGCGGCCAGCAGAACTGCGCGACGTCGGTGATGGTGGCGACCGCTCGCGCGTTGCACACGGTGAAGGACGGGCCGGCAGGCGCAGTGCTCCTGCCGACGGCCTGGGCGCGAAGCCTAAGCTTAGACGCAGGCTCGAGCCAGCGTGTTGACGGATCCGCGCCGGGGCCCAGCCATATGCCCAAGTATTATGACGAGGGAGATGCCTCGAACTGGCAACACTCAGGAACCGCGTCAGCGATGGCAGTCTTGAAGCGGCGCTCCAAATAGGGCCTGATGGGGGCCAGAGAGGGGGGCGACCTTGCACTTGGACGTCTCCAGACACAAGTTGGCCAAACCCGATGCCTGCTCCATTGCGCCGTGGACGCCGCGGGGATCGGAGACATTAGCCACGGCGCCCCCAATGTCATCGGCGCGCGCCTGTGCAAGGCCACTCTAGGGGTTCTCGATCATGTCGGAGAGAAAATGGAGAAATGCTGAGGTACTGAAAGCAAATGAGGTCCCCGAGAGTGCGCAACCTTGGATGATGCCACTCTTGATCCAATAGAGGTGGGAAGGGGCGCCCACGAACATAACCGCGCCCTGGATCTATAGGTAGAGGGCTTCGACGAAGGAGAGAAAAGGCTCCAAGAAGGTGAAGGGCCCACAAGGACAGCGGGGGGAAGTCCTGGTTCAGGGGCAGGAAGGCCCGGCCGAAGTCGAGGCTGGACAGGAGGGCGATCTCGGTGGACCCGGGCTCTCCGACCGAGAGGATGCGCCTGGATGCGTCGAGCTCGAGGATGTTGTTCCTGAAGTTTCCCCCGGGAATAAAGCCCCTCCGGCACTGCGGGGCACTGGCCTTGAGAGCGGGGCAATTCGCACGATTGATAATGGCCGAGATCAGCTTCGCGTCGCAATTTCTGAGACCCAGGACTCTCACCTTACTGGGGGCGCTCGCGCAGCCCCCGGGGGCCAGCTCGAAGTCAGAAACGCTCGTGGGCAAGAGAATCTGGAAGGTGTCGCTGGCGTCGTAGAACAGCGACTGCCCAGAGCACGGCCATTCTAGAGCACCCCGGGGAACGTCGATAGCAAACGGCGACGCCGCCCGCGACGCGTAGGGGGGGGGCGCCAGGGCCAGGCGCAGAGCGACGGGCATTTCTCAGCGAAGCACGAAGCATCGCGCGAGAGGGCGGCGGGGGATGGACATCAACAGGGGGAGGTAGATGTTCGCGGAGGTAAGTATGAGCGGCAGCAGCCCCCCAACCATTGCGAGAGAACGCTGGGGCCCAAAATGCTGAGAGAGCGTCTTGGCGCCAAACGACAGGAGCGATGGCACGGCAGTGTTGGAGGAGAAAGCGGGGGTGGCCGGGTCGCCCGCGAACCAGCGTGTCCTTCGTCTCGGCAGCGGCGATTTTCATCGCAGTCTCGCAAAGCTCGAGCTTCCTTCTTTCTTTATGGGGGGGGCAGGCAGGGCCAGTCGACGGCCTCGGACGGGGCCTTCCAGACGTCTCCTGAACGCGGGCTCCCGAGAGATGTGCTTGTCGATGGCGCGTTGATCTCTGGGTTTTCTCGGCTCGAGGAGGGAACGAAGCCGCGCGCGCCGCATGGTCCGAGATTTTCTCGCCATAAACAGCTGCGGCCGAGTCGACGGTGGAGGCGCCGACAGCCGCCTGGCAAAGACGCGGGCCCACGTGTGAGCAGGAGAAACGATCGATGATGGCGCCGTAGTCCGGGCTCTTCTTGCGGCGAGTCGGCTGGCCGGACTCAGCCCCGGCCAAGGTCGCCAGGCCAGTGGCTCTCGCCACTTTGGGGCGCGAGCGCGATGGCGTCGAGCTCCGCGGCGCGCGGCAGCCACTGGCTTGCGCAGGCAAGCCGCTTCCTGGATTACAAAACTGAAGCCCCCGCTGAGCGCGACCATGGCGCGCTCGGGGCCCAGGTCGGCGGCGGCCCCGGCGCGGGCGTCGCGCGGGGTGAGCTGGGCATCCGAGGGGGGGAGGTCGCGGTCGTGGGCGTTGAAGATGTAGAGGGTAGACCGAACGGAAGGCGCGACGACTGACAACGCGCGCCCAAGAACGCGCGCCCTCCGCGAAGACGCAGTCAGCGATTCACAGCCCGCAGCAAGAGGAGGGGTGAGAATAGCCACACCACCGCGGATGCGATCCTCGGGAGACGGGCCGAAGAAACTGGCGTGCACGACAACGTTCGGCGCGCGCGAGTGGGCGAAGGCGGAGAGCTGGAGATGGCCCTTGTGAACCTCTTGTAGCGAGATAGTGGTGGCCCCAAGGCGAAGCCGTAGAAGGTGGTTGCGCTCCAGGGCGGCCGCGTCGTCACCAGCCTGGAGGGGGCGCGGGCGCTCCCGGTCGCGAGGCGCGGCGGGGGCCACGGTGAGTCGGGGGCGCGCGGTAGCTGGGAGAGGAAAGCAGCGCTAAAGAGACCACTGGCTGGGGCCCGTGGGCGCGGTGAGCGGCTTGGTGGCGTCGCGGAGAGCGGTGTCCGACATGTCGTTCTTGGCCAGCTGCCCAATGTCCCAGAGGATCTTCGGGGGCTCGCCACCGTGGAAGACCTGGACTTGCATGATCTTGTCCCGCCCGACGGAGAGGATGCCGTGCTCGGGGTCGGTGTAGTAGCGCTTGTTAGGGTACTGGTCCTCCCTGAGGGCGCGAGCCTTGCGGGGGGTGACCTCAAGCTTGATCTGCTTGGGGCTCTTGTCGGGGCCGAGATGGAGGCGGCGGCGCTCGGCGCCAAGAGGGGTGGCCCAGAACTCCTTCCACGCGCCGTTGGACTTGAGGTTGGCGAGGGCCTCCGACGCCTTGCGAGCGGCAGCCCCAGGAGGCCCAGCGTGAGAGATTCCGAAACGCCTGGAGGGCGATGATGAGCGCTGTTCGATCTTGAACTCGGAGGGGTCAGAGCCAAAAGACTCGAACCACGGGGCAACGGCGAATTGAACACTGGCAGTGGTGGTGACCTTCTGAGCAACGGCGACGAGGGCGGCGGGGTCAGCCTCGCGGTCGAACGAGGGGGAGGGTGACGACCTGGGGCTTCAGCTTCTCGATGGCGAGGACGAACTCTCTGCGGAGGGTGTCCATCTGGGAGCGAAGCGCTGCAATCTCTGTGTCATGCAAGTCGAGGCGGCGTTGAGCAGACGATAATAGGCCAGCGTGGTCATGGAACTGGGCCTGCATATTGCGGTGGGGGGCGTCGAGCTTCGGCGTGACGGCACTCTGTATATGCTGCTGTACAACAGACGTCTGCTTAGCCATGGCGGCCTGCATCTGAGAGAGCATGTCCAATAGCGCAATGTGATGTGTGTTGATCGTCCCCGCGACAGAGGCACCGGTCTCAGACGAGAGGGCAAAGCGCATGTTGGAGAACTCCTCTCTGCACAGCTGGCGTAGAAACTCTTCGGATGAGAGGTCGTCACCGGGAAGGTCAGAGCGAACCGCATCTCCAGGATTGAGCTTACGAGCGACAGCGCGCGCGGCACTTTTGCCTTTGCCGCAGTCCTGTGACGGGAAGGTGGGAGCAGCTTCGATAGCAGCGGCCAACTCCAGAGCCTCCTGAGAATCCATGGGAACATCCACGTGTGCCATGAAATGTGGCGGGGATCGCAGAGAGAAAGGGTGTCCGCCAGCTTGTGACAGTTGGAAAGCCCCGCACGAAGGGCTGCCGCGCTTGAGTGCTGGGCCTGTCCTAGACTTGAACCAAAATGGTAACGGACGAGGAGGAGGAGGAGGAGGAAATAAAAAAGAGGAGGATGAGGATGAGGAGGATGAGGAGGATTAGGAGAATGAGGATGATGATGATGATGATGATGATGAGGAGGAGGAGGAGGAGGAGGAGGAGGAGGAGGAGGCGGCATACACAGAATATCTCGGAGGTCCGCGCGGATTCCTCGGATCGGCGCTCCCCTCGCAGGCACGCGGAGCGCGCCAGGGAGGGCGCCCCAGGCACCGCAACGGGGGGGCGGCCTCAGGGCCGATCCAAGAAAACCGCCCGGACCTCCGAGACATTCTGTTCATGCAGTTGCTTCTGTTCGAAGAAGGGGTCCAGATCCTAGAGGTTCTCGTGTTCCTTCTGGGGCCCTCTGGGCGCCGTGGCGCCGCGGCCCGTGGGCAGGGATGGCACGGGGGGCCCCCCTCGGCGTCGGAGGCGCGGTGCGCACCCTGGGTGAGGTATGGTCCCTCCTGCCCTGCCCCGCTCCTGTCGGCGGCGACGATAAGGGCGAATAGCCCAGGGGCGGGCATTACACGCATTCGCCCGGGAGCCTTGCCGAAGACATAGATCATCGGCGCACCTGGATGCATGTATTGCTCTCCCCTGGGCTATTCGCCCCTATCGTCGCCTCTGGTCCTTGCAGACTCCGCCGCCTCCTCGGGCCCTGGCCGCTGCGTGCTGCTCTTCCTTGGCCCCTGCGCCGCTGCTGCCGTTGCTGCGTGCTGCTCCTCTCGGAGCTGAGCGGCACTTGGTGTTGCCTCTAGCCCAAGACAGGGTCAGATGGAAGACGGCGAGCAGGACAGATACACACACATTGATACATGTGCACATATATGTGCATATATGTGTGTATATGTTTATATACATGTACACATATATATAGAGGGAGTGGGAGGGTGGCAGAAGAGGACGAGGATGAAGAGGACGACGAGGACAGGGCGGAGAACGAGGAAGCGAGACAGGCAGGAGCAATTTGAGCTACCAGCCACCTTTCTCGGTTCTCCATCTTCCCCTCTCCCCCTCTTCCCAATCCCGCTCTGTGGGCTCAGACTCCGTCTGCCCATGAAGTGCGTAATCATGACTTCCCTCCCTCTTCAACCTTCCCCTCGACACAATTTCGCTTTCCTCTAGTCGGCCCACATTGCTGGCGACCTATGTAACGCGCAGTGCGTCCAGGCACCATCAAGGTTATACCGTTATCACAGGGTCGAGCGTCAAACTTACAGCACTCATCCTCTCCCTCCTCGACCTCCTCGTATCCTGCCTCCTCCTCCTCCTCCTCCTCCTCCTCCTCCTCGTCTTCATCCTTCTCCGGACCCTCATTACCCCTCCAATCAACTCGTACTCCTCATCAGCATTGTCCTGTTCCTTCCTGCTCTTCACTTTCCTACCAGCCCGAGTCGCGGAAGCAGCCGGCGGCCCTGCCTGGCCCCAGCTGCTCCAGACCACCACGAAGCTCCCGTCCACCGGGCTCGCTGTGACCTTCCCGCCGAGGGAAGGCGCCGCAGAAGACAAGTCGTAGAAGGCGCGCCGTGCAAGAAGAGGGGGAGGAGGGTACTGGCGATTGGGATGGGAAAGGAGGAGGGGCAGGCAAGCGAGACTAGGGACAGCTTGAGGCACTTAAACTCTATTGTATACGGGTATACATATGTATACATATCTATATGTACAGAGAGAGAGGGAGAAAGAGAGAGAGAGAGAGAGAGACACATGAAGAGAACTAGCAAGTTTGACATATACATATGGAGGGAGGGGAAGGAGAGCGAGAGAGAGGGATAGAGAAACAAAAACATAGAAACTGAGAGAAAGAGAGAAAGAGAGAGAGAGAGAGAGAGAAAGAAAACGTGAGAGACGGAGAGAGATAGAGAGACAGAGAGAGAGAGAAAGAGAAGGAGGTTACCATACACAACACAATAGGGAGAGGGAGAGAGAGCGAGAGAAAGAAAGAGAGAGAGAGAGAGAGAGACAGACAGACCGACAAGTAAACACACATACATATTCATGCTTACGAGAATATCTATATATATATATATACAAATACATACATGCACACAAGGTGAAATATATAACTCAAGATATAACCAAGAGATATAGAGAGATACCACAAAAAGCAAGAGAGAGAGAGAGAGAGAGGGCGAGACAGACAGACAGAGAGAGAGGGATAACACACGGTAGGTAGGGGGGCATGAGCCGGAGCCGAATGCGAATTGCAAATCCGCCGATCTGGTCGGCGTGTGCGAGGGGTTTGTCTGTTCGAGTCGCTGTCTCGGTCAGTCGTCGTCTGCGTCGTCCCGTTTCCCTGCACCCTCCTCAAGGCTGTCAGCCAAAGAAAATACTCGCAATGTCGTACTCGAACCGAAAGGAAGCCCCTTCCCTTTCATCCCTCCCCCGTCGGGGGGGGGCTCTCTGGAGGGGTCCCGGGGGGGGGGGTAGATATGCATCCCCTCCCCGTGGCTGAGAAAAAATACCAACACAAGCCAAGAGTATCCCAAGAGGCCCACCCGCCAAACGATCTGTCCAAAACGCCTTCACGCTCAACGACTGCCCAGAAGACTCCAAAATGCCCCAAGAGGCATCCGAAGGCACTCCCGATAGAGCCCCAAGAGGGAATAACCATTGATTCCTTTCGGTTTTTGGCAAATTTGCGCGTTCTCGCCTTTTCCGCTTCCCGCCGCTCCAAGACGACCGAAGAGGCCCTCAAGATCGCCACCAGACGGCCCCAGGGGCTTCCAAGAGCGCTCCGAAACATCCCAAGATAACCCCAAGACAGCACAAAACGCCCCCAAGACGGCCCAAGGAAACCCCCAAGAGCGTGCCTTGACGGCGGGCCCGAGCGGACATTTCGAGCCCTCGGCCCCGAGAAGCTCCAAGGAGGCCCCGAGAGGCCCCAGGAAACCCGCAAGAGGCCACCAGGACATCCGAA